TTTAATGACACTCAATGCATTGCCTAGTGATTGAACAACGAAAAAAGCATGGCCGAAAAAGTAATTCGCATTCGATGCTGCTGTTACTGCTGCTTCTATTGATGATGTTATCCATTTTTATTAAATGAGCCTATAATCTGATTTGGTGATTTAATGTAAGCGATTGAATCTCATTTGGATTATAAATTGAGTATGTATGATGGCGATTCCCAGGGTACGGCCATGAACTATGTGTGTCGCAAAAGGTAATGCGCAAAAGCACCTTCATTCCAAGTGATTGCGATTAATTGATGATTATTGACAGCAATAAAAAGCAGTCGTATAAAAAACGCCATCATCTTGATTGTTAATCACATTCGACGAGGCTCTGAAAGACGACAGAGAAAAAAAATGAACATGGGATTGTATTCTTTTATTCATTGGCATCCCGCCTATCATTTGAAGCCATGAACAAGTAAACTCGAATGAACGAAGCGCGCAAAACAATGAAGACATAAGAAAATTACATTGACACATAGCCAATGTTGCATCATAATCACAACGCCCTTTCCACATCGAAACACTCTCGACAGAAGTCAAGGATTTACAAAAGTTCTGTGCCGTTTATCATTCGCATAAATCGCAACGAAACACATTAAAATCCACAGTTTTATGCACAAATATTAATTAAAACCACATGCAGTGTTTTGCATATAATTTATGCTCAATTCGGTTGATTCCTTCATTGTTGGCATTGTCTGAGCAATTGTAACACTCAAACGAAAAGGTGTAACATTAATTATCGGCTTAAGTAAGTTATTTAATTGTGTCTGAGCCAAAGTCAAAACAACTCATTAAAACATGCCTAGATTTTTTTCGGGTTGTAGCAAAAAAAAAAAAAATGAAGAAGACGAAACACTGATGTGAAGATGAATGAAGACAATTGTTAAGTCCAATTCGTAAACATCGTCTCGACCCGAAATGATGAAGAGCATAGGTACATACACACACACACACGACCTTGACAATATATTCACTTCATGTTTTTACTTTTTGTTCATTGCTGTTGTCACTGTTATTGCTGCTCATCTTGCGTGTTCGTGTGTTGAAGAAGCGACAACAACGACAGAAGCAGCAGCAGCAGTAAAAAAAACAGCATTAATCATGCTACACGTACCGTTTGCATTCATTACATTTAATCGTGAATAAATGGGATGATGACTGTCATTGCGGTCGTTGCGCTTCACTTGTCATTTCATCTAATCACGATGTGCTTACAACAAAATAAAGGCCAAACAAGTCATATAATAAAAAAGAAGAACATCATTCACTTTTCGAATGACAAACAGCGAACAAAGACCATATTCAAAATGTAATTTCCCTGATTAAACATCAATTGATCTTGGTTTTTTATGAAAAAAAAAAATGGTTTTTTATTTTACTTCTTCGTCGTCGTAATCATCGTCGTTTTTGAAAAAATTGTATAAAATTCCTATTTCAAGCCATAATCCGTTCTTTTTCCACGGATATTCATTTGGGATATTCACACAAAACCGCTCACGATGCATTAAAATTGTATTTCTGTACCTGGCACATGTGTCTTGATTTATCTATTATCCTTCCATGTTGGTGGTGTGCGCGCGCGACTGTGCGTATACCGGCGGCTTCTTCAACCGCTTGTCGACATGATAATAGCTGTTGCTAACAAATTTTTTGTCATTTTCAACCACTTTCAATGCTTGTGCACTTAATTTAACAGCTCTCAACTCGACTATGCGCGGACGAAAATTGCGATGAAGTACAGTACTTTATTTAGCTCAACCATATTTAATGTCTTTTCATCATCAACTTTGTGGGCTTCACATTTGTCACATCACATCAGACTCAATCACTCTTTCTCACACTGCTGCTCATCGAAAATGAAAATGCCTTCGTGGCAACTGTCACGAACCGAGCATAATACGATACGTATAAAAATATATACCGACAACGACGCACAGGCACACACATGTTTTAATGTCTGATGTTTGTTATCAACATTCATTTTTCGTGACAACATCGACGGCGACGATGACTCCGTTTGGCAACAATCCTTTTTATGGGCACGAAAAATTCGGGCACTGAATTTTTCGTGCAGTGAATCAGTCAACATTGTCATGTTTATTTCCTTAATTACTTTCATTTCGTTGTCATGATTTTTATAGCTTCGAAATGAGATGGGAAGAGAGTGTGCTACGTGCAACGTGGCACCTGTGAATTAAATGGGAACACGAATGGAAATAAGTTTCATCGGTGTGCGAAGGAAGAACGAACGATAATGAAAGAATCGTTGTGCAGGAATATTTAATGGATTTTCCAATGGAGTGGGATTTAATAAGTTATTTTATGGTGAAGCGGAAAAGTTCTCGTTTTGAAATTGTTTATTGCTTTTCGTTTTGAATGTGCTGTTTGTAATCATGTTGCAGTTGTCGAGCTACTGCATCGGAATAAAACTTTATTGTTGACGCTTTTCATGATGAAGTTTTCGGATTTTGCCTCAGAAAAACACACATTTCACTTCGGTGAAGGCAGGACGAACAGAAATCCCACACAATGTACCGGAATGCAATAAAATAATCCGTCTTTTTCTCTATTCTCTTATCCTGTCCTTTTCCACTTGACTTGCAATAATCTTACGCATACAAAGTAAACTCAAGGATGGTGAAGATTGCATTGAACCGAACACACTGCCACCGGATGAGCCAAACTCATGAATTCGAAAACATTTCAAAAGACGATGCTGCAATAACGGATAATGCAACAATCCGACCGGAACTTGAGCTGCATGGGAAAATGTGAAATAAACAAATGGCTTCCATTTTCTGGCGCAATTGAATAAAAATTCCTCTTGACTTCGTCCGCTCGCCCACCCGCTCACTTACTCTTCATTGGAAAATGGGGAAAATGCAATCGCTGCAATGATTTCGTTTTGATGATGGTTGCACCGAATTGACTTGATTACATTTACTTGAACAAGTGCATGAAATTGTGCAATGAAATCGCATCGTTGGCTGTGCATTTGCATTTATTTCGCTGACTTGGTTACATTTCGACACCGACAATTATCGTCTTAAATGCAAGTGGATTGTTAACAGATACCTGTTTTATGGAAATTACAACTACAATTCGAAGGATAGTATTTAAAATACAGCAGCCACAAACGCACCACGAGAGCAAAGAAAAAATTTGAATATTGTCAACGCCCGCGCAGTGGCAGCGTTGAAGTGATAAATAGAAAATCGCACTGTTGCTCGAACATATCGTATGTACAAGCGCATTATGACGCTGTGGGATTCGTCGAAAATAATCAACATGAAAGCTCCGACTGGGAAATAAAATTGAGATGAAGAAGAATGTGTTCTCAGAGCGCGCTGTGGCCCAACATATGAGCGGGAAAAAACGGAAATTTGAATATATTTAGAAGAAAATCTCTGAATCAACAGAAAAGAACGCTGCATGAATATATTGGTGTCTGTGTGGGGGTGGATTGGTCACGGTTTGTGTTGGCGTCACTCAAAATCTTTGTGCACAGAAATTGCGAGAAATGGACAAGGCCATCTGGCTGACATATTACACTTGTACGTGCTACGAAAATTGATACACCGCATACCCTACAGCGAAACTAAAATACACAATTTCCTTGAAAGGAAAATGGAAATAAGCCCAACACACGGAATATTGTCGGGAGCGTTAAAACATAGATAATAGAAAGAATCAACATCATCAGAAATGTTGTTGGCCCAAGCAATCTATTCCAATTTCTGCGCAGAAAAACACTGCAAACTCCAGCCCGCTTCTATTTCCTCCATTTTCTGTCTTCTTCATCTCATCCAGCTTGCAGCTCCAAACAATTTCCGCACATAACTTTTGACTCATTTCATGTTTTCCACCCCAAACAACACATCTGACACATTTTTTTCCCTTATGACTGTCATTATGTGAAATGTGATACATTTCAAATACGAACCTATTACCCACATGGTAAACGTTCTGCTGTTCGTGCCGTTGCTCTATTGCCATCTAAAATGGAAGCATCATTTGTTCGATATAATTTGGCACAGATTGATTTACGTAATCAATTTGAAAAATCTGTGTTTCCACTGTGCATTACGAGCCATGTTTCATGATTGCGATCTTTGAACACGAATAGTGAAACGACATTTAAAACTCAAACGCTGAGCACCAAAGAACACATTACATCGAACACCCTTGCGTCACTCACAGGATTACATTTCTCAATTTAAATTGTTGATTCGCTCATTTCATTCTTTTTCCCACTCATTCATTTTTTTGTTGTAACATTCCGAAGAGCATTGAAATATTGTAACATTCCGAAAATTGACAGCTAACGGCAATTGCAATTTGCTTTGCCATGCGAAAAAACAAAACTCACCAAAAATGTTGTTCACAAATGGGAATTTCCCATCAGCAGACAGAACAGACGAGAAATATGTACAACAATTCGTTGAAGTCAAGAATTCGTTGCATTTTCATATAGATATATCTAATCGGAATTGCACATCAGCACAAGACAATGACAACGAATTGCAAATATAAATGAAACAGCACATTTGCTTGACTCCATTTCAGTTTCTACTATCGAACTTAATCGTACAGAAGTTTGCACTCATCTACATTTGTCGAGCGCTGAATTTTTTTTTTCGCTTTGTTTGTCTTCATAGAATTCTTTTCAATTGTTTGCACTCACAAGAGAAAAGTTCTCGTTCAGTCTTAATGTATTTTAATCAGTAAAAGGTTCATTCTTTCCACGTTTGCTCGATTAAATAAAAAGAAAGACACTTGCTGTGTTCGCAATGATAATTGCACCGAATTCAATTTAAACTAGAGCTCAAAGATCAAGTAAACATTGAAATGGCGTTCGTTTTTTTTCTCATGAAGATTGCTTGAATATTCAAAAGTTGCTTGAAGAAAATGCCACTTCTTGAAAACATTAATATCAATTTTATTCTCTTTCCAGACAGAAGGCCCGTTTGAGCTCAAAAATTGAAATCTGAAGGGAAACAGATGCCGTCATCCGATAGATACTTGTGCGACGTCATCTTTTGCCCATTTTGAAGTTGGAAAAACTCGCCCAAAATCATCGTCTGCAGTGGTGGTGGTAGTGGTGATTCATCCATTATTGACCATGCATCCCGAAGTTTGACGAATGAAGCATTCCTACTCGAAATTCCGAATCCACCACTTTTCGCTTGAGTGCACATTTTGAATGGTCTTTAAGCGTTTCAATCCACATTTTCATTATTCAATTAATGGATTTCAATGGGCAAACATTTTCGTCATTGAAATAATGATAAAATAAAGTGGTTCGAACGGAGATTATTATTATTTGCCATCGATGAATTTGTTCGGGTGAGTAAATCTATTGAATTAAATTATTCGGGGCGAGTGCTTCTATATTTACACGTTCGTGGAAGAGGAAGATAATAAATTTAAATCGTGCAGCCATTTACCATATTTTAGTCTAGACAATACAGAATAACATCGATAACGAACGAATTTCGATTATTTCGCATACAATGAACATTTTATATAACAATGTGTTCAATATTTATTTGGCCAACGGAAGAAAAAAAAGAATCGTCGACCACATTTTGTGAAAATAATTGAATGAGAAATTTTTGCTGCCATAAAATGCGCAAAAATTTATTACCAGCTTTCAATGGTGTAGGAAAAAAGCACAAGAAGATACTTTGACAATAATTTTATTCTATGAAAGTTCTATAAAAGAATGCGTCGGTAGAAAAACAAGTTCTATAGGGAGTTGGATTAATTGAGCCCGAACAACAACAGCAAAATAAAAAACCATGCAGACAATGTCGATGAGGGAAATAAAAAAGTTACTCAGGATTATAATTAAGCCTCCGACATTTTTTTCTCTCTTTACATTGCAAAACCTATTCGAAACGCTGGATTATGCGAACAAAAGTTATTTTATCGCAAAAAAAAAGACGAGAGAGACGAACTTTTGTTTACTTGAAACGAATGAAACGTTGGCCATAACTTGCATGGCGAGCAACAATGGATCAACCTCGGAAGCTTTGCATAATTTATAAGCATGCGTCCAGTTCGAAATGTTTAAAAGAATGTTTCCAACAATTTATTATGCTTTACTTAACATCCAAATTAGGTTGTCCAATGTTGAAGCTCAATTTTTGATTGTGGTTTATTGTTATCACTGTTTAATTCCGGACGCCATTTCCGAAAATAAATCCACACGAAATGTGTGTAGTGTCAAATTCATTCAAGATTGTTCCACACCACTGGGCTACCACTGATAATGACTGAAACAATCCAAATCAAAGGCTATGTGATATATGCCTATACAAGCAACAATAATCTTTTCCAAGTAGCCACATGTAAATAGTGAATCAATAAATCGATAACATTAAGCTACTTATGTTTGAAATAATTTATACTTTGTGTTACGTAACACAGACACACAACAAGCACCTGTAATAACAGTTTGTCACGAATATTCTAACAGAAATGAATAGATATTATATATATGTATTAACGTATAATATGCTGAATAACGAAGCATGCCTCCGATGAATTTACTATGTGGATTGGTAAACCAATAAGATAACAGCCTAAACAACTCGATGAATCTGCTTACGGAAGAGCGCCACACGCAAATCACACCTTTCAGAAAAGGATCCCGTTCGACATTTCCATTTGAACCTTTTCATTATGCGTATGCATTGGGATATTACCCGTGTATCGTGTACGCTTCGGTATTGCCTTTTCAACCTGTTTATATGCTTCAAGATCAAATCCAATGATTTTTCGCATAAAAATCGCTTTATATTCAAATGTTATCTGTTGGAGCAGCAAAAGCAATCTAATGAAGCATCACAATGGATTATTTTCCTTCAATCCTGCCGCTCCCCAATTTGTGCGCACAATTCGGTCAATGTGACCGAACATTTCATTTCTGGTATGGCTTTTTCTCTTCACAATTTTTTTGTTTGTTTGTTATTTTAGTTGACACGGAATGTCAGAACTATCATTCCGAACAGTCAATTGTGCATATAATATACGAAAAGCTTCTCGCTATCAAAAACTAATCCGAGCCCATCATTATGGTGTGCTGCGATTGTGTGGATTATTAATCAAGCGACAGGCAAACAAATAAAAAAAAAACGACAAAGTAGACGTTTGTTTTTTTTTGGGTTTTATTTTCATGTTACAGTCGCACTGCTCGATTAGCATTCCACTGCTATTGCTGGTTTTTCTCTTAAACTGTGTGCTCATTTCCTTTAAGTGGTCGTGGATATCGATTTTCCATGTAAGCAAATGAAAACACGCGCCACACACACATAAAACAGCACCAAAGTAGCCAAACCGAATTGAAAATGTGTCCAAAAAAAGCCAAAATTATTTTACTACTGGAATTATGTATATCATTTTTTATGATTCCATTGATATAAAGCGTATGGTTTTTACGGCATTCGCGAGCAAACGAACGAACGCTTTGCGAAGCGAATTGGAAAACGCCCAAGAAAATGACATAATTTGTTTTTGGGAAATAAGGCATGCGACCGCAAGAGAGCCGACTGCTTCTGTGTGTCTGTGACTACGCATCAATCATTGGCACGGATGGCATTGTGCAAACATTTAATCAACTTATGCGCCCAAAACATGTCTGCAGATATTGCGAAAAGCAATTAATATATCGAAATAGGCAAACCAAAGAGCGACAAACAGAGAGAGAAAGAGAGTGACTCAGAGAGAGCGAAACGAAATGAAATGAATGACGATAGGCAGAACGTGAGTGGTGAGTGCACAACTTATGGAATTTCGCTTGTTGTTTGACAAAGTATAAATGGCAATTCGCGAACAATTGAATGCTTTTATTATTGGCGAAAGCACAATGGTAACCTGAATCGGTCGCGTGTTTTGCAATGATGTCTTTATTGGCCGCACTCTATTGCAAATACACACATTTTTTTCATTCGGCATTTTATTACAATTTTTTCTTTCAATTTACGAATTGAACAACATTTTTTTCCGTTTTTTTTTCTTGGGTTTTTGTTTTCGATTTTTCTTCTCGTATGATTGTGTGTTCGGTTGAATTGAATTTCAATCCGTTCATGTGCTGGATTCATGTGAGATTTCCAAAATAACCATTTTCAATTGATGAACGCTGTCCGTTCATCATGGGCTGTATCATATGCGTGCGATCCAGTGATAATAATACGCTGGACAATTTCTACTGCAAATACGCAATCAAGCACGAATTCGTGTACTCGACAGTATCCTACGCATGCATGTGTGTGTGTGTGTGTGTTTCTGTCTCAATGGGTTTTGTTACTGTTGCTGTTGTTAAAACGGTGGCAGAATCTTACCGACTCTGCCGTTATGTTGGAGACCATTTCAACATTTCATACTGAACAGAGAACTGGCGGCAGGGTTAGAATATTGTGAATATGAAATTCGATGAGAAAAAAACTGAAATGGATGAGATTTTTTTTTGTTTTGTTTTTAACAAGCATGTGCAGTGTGCACATACAATGCGCATACACATAATTTGCAACAAAGAAAGACACACGCAAACACACTCTACGCCAAAAATATTGGTGCTTCAGCAAAAGGCAGCGAAAAAAAAACCGCACAGGAAAAGAAATAACGATGTTGTACGCAATTTTTCTGTGCCATCAATTTGTTTGCTGCGAAAACATATGTTGTCATGCTGTTCCATGCATAAATGAAAAAAAAAATCGCAACAGCAAATTGACATTTCAATACACTGCCAAAGCAATTTTTAAATCACATCGCACCGAAAAATCGTACAAGTGTCGCAATCATTTTACATATATATTTCCAGCTAAACGTATATATTCGACGAATATATATTATTTTTTATACGCATACATATGTCGGGCACGGAACATCATTCTATGTAAATTGATTTATTATCCGAAAACCAACGAAGGAAACCATTTGTTTCGCTGAGTTGCAAACATTTCATACCCATCATACCATATGTTATTCAATTCGTCATTATCTGTGCATTTTGGTGTGTTTGCTTGCGCGCCTGTGGGAAAACCCATCGATTCATTAAGCACACCGAATGGTTAATCTTCTGCCTGTCTGTCGCTCTCTCTCTGTTTGTGCGTTGATAAATGGAATTGGCCGATAGCAATCGAAATAGTTATGTATGTCTGTGCTTATGAAATTACATTTTATGCAGTTCTTTTTGAAATAAATCTGATCGCTTCCAATGATATACTGTTGATATATATTTTTCTGTGTGTGCGCGCGCGCGCACGATAAATTCCAATTGATAGGCTTTTTGAATGTGTTTCTAGTTTTTTCATTTGGTACTGGGGCGGTCGAAAAAAAATCTGTCGGTTAATGGTATATTGTGTGGTATAATAATGAACTCATTCCGAGCTTTATTAAAACCGTGAACATCAAAACTAATTGGATGTCCATGAAATCTACTGTAGAGAAATTTGTTTTGCGAATAAAAACCTTTTTTTTCGCACTTTATTCATGGGCGATTTAATGGAACCCACAATTACATCGAGAGCGGAAAAAAACACACACAGAACCATAATCCATTTTATGTTTATGGTTTGTGTGCGCTCACAGCATGTAATACATATTCATTGGCTAAAAATAAAAATTGCTTTCGATTGGTTTGAGGTGCGGTTCGATGTCAATCTGCTGTGAGTCTCGGTAATGTCGTCGTTTGTCGTTATTATTTTTCAACAGGAAAAAAAAAACAGTATCCATTTGTGCAGAAATTAATTCCAACAAATTGTTTGTTGAACACCATTAAATATGATTATTAAATTGAATGGTTTTGAAAGCATTTATTCATCAGTTGATGAGTTCTGACGTGGTTCGACAGGAGAGATGACAATCGGAGACCTCACAAATGCTGTCAACCGATTTGAATCGCACCGCCATTCTCACAAGAACGAACTGATACAATGTCGTTACATTATATCGCTACCGAAAGACGAACAATCAACGCATTTAAATGGTGCACGTATATCTCGGCGAGAGTATAATGAAAACGTATCGAATTGCATGTGGAGACATTTGAGCGTAATGGCAAGTATCTGTTTTATAGATATTGCATCGATATCCAATCTCAAGTATCGCTAAGTTCTATTGTCTGTTGGAGGGCGGTCTTGTCAACGGATTTCATATTACATTTGATACAAATCCATCGACATTGATACAAAAACCGACAAATATACGTGTCTAGGCGACGCACGGAATTCTTTCTCGATTCGATGATCGCAACGGTCAAGAATGTTCTCGAGAAAATGAACGAAAAAAAAAGTTTCTCTGTGTGATTGTTTTTTCCTTCATTCTCAAGAGATCTCAAGAAGTTTAATTGTAGCTTCTTAAATAACCTGCAAAGTTACGCTGCACAGATAACATCACTAAAGTTATAAACGCACCAATAAATCTGAGCGAACGAGCGGAGAGTTCAATGTAATCGGTAGCAAAACTCTCTTCGTAGCTCACTATGGTTCGCATTGGAATAAGATTGAAAATGACATAAATACTTATAAACACACACAGGTCACTCGAGTTGTTGCTAACTTTTTTTTCTCTTCTACTTTATTCGTTCGTTCGTTGGTTGGTTGGTTGGTTCGTTGGTTGGTCGTTTGTTCTTTGCTTCTTATTATTATTACCGTGGCATGGCGTTCATATTCTCTTCGATGTGTGATGACCATGTATGTTAAATCAACATTCTTCGCAGTGAGCAATAAAGAACAAAAGGATTGTAAATTGTTGTAAGTTTTATGATTACGATCAGAAAGTGGAATTGCATCAACTGTACATATTCCTCGCTACACTCTTATACACAAAGCATTTTTCAATGTCAGTTTACGGCGACAGAGACAGAGACACGTAAGTTTGTTTGTGCTTTTTGTTTTAGTTTTTTTTTTAGCTGCCCATATTTCCATCGCTCATGGAAATGATTGTATTGTGATGAGCGAGTAGTACACAACGCGAAAAAAAAACCCAAATGCCCAACATAAAATTACTACGCCAGCCATGTACATACATGGTAAGCATTTGACCTTCGTTCGTTGACATTCGGTGACTGAAAATCGTTTCCAGTCGACGTCGTACTACATCGTTCCCCCTTTTTTTGCGAAAAGAAAACCGGGAGAGAAAGAGAAAAAAAATTGCATGCGGAAAGCAGACATTCAATAGGCAACGATATTTTATGTGCAAATGAAACTTATCATTCGCGAGAATGCAATTTCAAATACGAGAAGCAGCACACACAAAAAAAAACACACCACGTCGAGCTGAAAATTATACTTTGTGTAATACAATACGGGTTTTCTTTTATTCATTTCTTTCTTTTCGTGCAGATGTGCCAATGCACTTTTGCAATAAGAAGAGAGAGAGAGAGAGAGAGAGATCGAGAAAAAAAAACTTTCTTATCAATTGAAAGAAATTTGACTTTTCGATGAAGATAATCACCACCGTTTTACTTACTCACTCAGCATTCGATAAAAGTTTTGGCGTTTAGTGCGTGTTTTCAAATATGTTGATTTTCGCAACGGCGAAAACAAGTTATCATATTCTTTTTTTCTCTTTTTCACGTCGACTTCTCTCATTTTAATGTGCTTGTGATAAATCAGCGTGATCGTCGTGTATGGAAGAGAAAGAGACAGAGCGAAAACGCATGATAATCACAAAAACGAGTTTTTTCGGTAGAGAAAAAAAAAACAGTCCACAGTAAGCAGCTAATGAAAGAAACACGCAAACATGCACACCAATTCATAGCGAATATCTCCATCTCTTCAATGACTAATTTTTTTCCTCGTCTCGTTGGCTTCATATTAACCGTATTTTTTATTTCATTTGATGTGATACTCGGTGATGCGGCACCAAGTAAAAGGGAGATAGAGATTGAGTCGCAAAAGCATCGCACACGTTTGGATGCATTCATTGATCGACCTTCCGAGAACTCTTGATTGAAGATTCAGTTTGTGTGTTGTTGTTTTTTTTTTATCACTCATCTTCCTCATGAGAAATTTAACTTCATTCACTTTAGTTCGCTTGTTTGCAACGGGTTCGACTATTTCTGTGGTTTTTCAATCTTGGTTTGGTGGCAACATTCTCTCCGGCTCCAATTTTGTGTGTGATAGATATCGAAATTACTCAATAATCAAACTTTGATCAAGTAATTTCTAAAGAGAAAACTGCATTTGTTATGTATTGAACATTTGATTTTCATCACGTCTACGCTGTGAATAAGTGTGTATAGTTCTAGTTTTACAAGTCAACGAATTGTGGTTCGACTTCGTGAACATTCCCCGTACAAGTTGTTATATTTCACAATATAATTAGCGAAAGGATAAGAGAAGCTTCAAAGTGTTCTTGTCGCTATCTCTGTAGCTCACAATTTAATTTAAGATTTGTGTTGTGTTGTGTTGCGTGTACGCGCGCCTGAACGACGACGCAAATTTATGATCCATAAAAAGGCTTCAGCTTGAGTGCAAATATTTTGATTAGTGCCCATTATTACGTCGCCAGTGTAACCGAATAAAAATAAATGTGAGTGGTGCGCTGTTTGGATATTTCTGGTTCGAATTGAATTGAAGCGTGCCGAATTCAACGACCGACCGACTGTCTCCACTTCCACATAGTTCTATTATATGGTCTTAATGGATCATATCAACCGAAATAGCGTCTCACGGTATGAAACTCATTTGAATATGAAATGATAGAAATTAAATCATCGAACGAAGTAGACAAAGAAAGCAACAACGAAAAAAAACCGTGAAATCGGTGATTCAATAACCTTAAAATCAAATCCATAGAGTGTCTGAAGCAGTCTTTGTTAATTTTTGTGTGTGTTAAAATTCTAGTTTGAGTTATTTTTTAAACTAAAGAATTCTTTACGAACAGTTCCAGTTTTGCACATAGTTTTTGCACCGCCATAGCACACACACACACCATTCAAAGCATGAACGCCCCGAAAAAAGCAGAATGTGTTTTTTTTTTTGTTCCCATTCTTAGAAAAGTCGGTCTAACAAAAATAACAGCCGATGTGTGTATGAACGGCAAAATGCTGAGAAATTTTCTAAACGAAAATATATAGCATTGAAAGACTGCATTGGCGTAGTCCACATTTTTTTTTTTTGATACGGAATTGAATGCTGCAGAATATGCTGATTGTTGTTACTGTTGTTGGTTCTTTCATTCTGGATTTTTATTGAAAGAATTTTTATCGCGTGCAAACGCTTTTTCATTCTTATTGAGAATTGAATGTTGTTTTGAATCTTTTCATTTTGATGCGCGTAACTCTTTACTCGTCTCATAAATCCATCATATGCAATCATTTTATTGATGTTTTGCATTATTTCTCTTTTGCTTTGTGCAGGTGGCAAAACCATACAAACAGACATTTTAGCACAAAGCCAAATGATGTTCGAAATGTACAATGTACTATCATATATCAAGTTTGGACTCAGATTAAAAATCCTATAAAACCCATGAAATGAATATCGTGTAAATGGGAATGTTTAGAATTTAACGTATGCATTTGACAAGAGTTCAAACATCGGTTAATAGCTGTTGGCTAAACACTTTGACAAAACGATTTGTTCTATTCCAAATTGCATTATAGTTTATCGCTTTTACGCGATTCGTTATATAAATCCAGGAGCCCAATTAATCTAACTGTACGTAAAATCGAACACAGTCAAAATTCTGCAAACGACCGCAAATTTTGTATAGAATATTTTGCTGGGCGCTTATCCCATATATTTTTATCTCATCCTAAACTTTGAACGGAAACGGTGGTTCTTGAACGCTTAATCTTGATCGGAATAAGTGTGACCGCAAGACCGCTCGGTTAACGAGACCGCAAGATCGCGAACATGATTAAAAATTAGTGTTCATACCCCAAAAATAATGGATCCCGAATATTAATTGCGTTAAATAATTTTAGTTGGCTACCCATATTGCTTCGAAGTGGATCACTTTTTTGTGCACATTTAGTGTTTCTTTCACACCTTGAAAAGAAATAACTTTCAAAAATTAAAATTTTGTTGAAAAATACTTTTCGATTCGAATAAAGAATAAATAAAAAAGAAAGAATTATTACTATAGTTACCAGCAAATTGATAGCTACTAACCACTTTACCAAGCTTTACTTGAACTATTCAAAGTTTAGAAGTTTTATAATAATGTTCGATATTTCAAATCAACAAATTGTTCATATGGTAGCACAAATTCGAGCAAAACAACTAGCCACCAAATACAGTCAAGACAAAGTGCAGAAATTTATTGTTGAATATCATGATGAGCATCCTGATATTTCTGATACAGACTTAGTTAAGCTATCGATTGAAAGCCTAGAATCATTTGTACGAACTAGTGTATCGATGAATAGCTACTTGACAGATCAAGAGAAAGACAGTATTGGACACCCTATAAAAATGAATAAAACTCATTTACAACTCAATTTAGCTAAAAAATGGGAAGAAAGCCAAGGAGAAGAATTAATTACCGCGATAAAAAATGGCAAATTTTATCATAAAACAATGAATACTATAGCACCAGATGAGTTGCCAACCTTACAATCACCTAGTAATAAGACATATTGGGGTAATGAGAATCCATCTGTTAGTTCCATATTGCTTGCCAGCATTTCGGTTGCTTGTGATCAAAAGCAAGTTATCAGTATGCCAGGAGCTGCAACATTTTTTCCCTTTCTGAATTCCAGCCATAGATTACCGTCAAATTTGATACCATCCACATATCCATTTGCTTCTACCGAAGGTATGACCCTTTTTGGCGATTATCAATATGGCGGTCACACTTATTTCAAAAAACAATTGTTATTCGGTCCCGAGGATTGCTCGTCATCAGTGGGTAAAGCAATAAATCTAACTGCCAAACAAATTCAAGACATATCTACTGCCGAAATGATAACAGCTTTTTTTAATCCAGACAATGAATACCATTATAGAGCAATTACGATTTTAATCGGTGATACAAATGACAGACAGTTACAGTTAATCGAACCAGGTGACATTTTCCTTAAAAAAGGTCATACGGCTATCATTGTCGGCAAGCCTGATAATAAGGGCAATATTATTACTGTGCAGTTTAACAGAAATATGGATGTGCCAGAAAATAAGATATCCGGAGGCGGGGTATTTGTATATAACTTGTGCGATGAAGCAAAAGACACTAAAACTGGTATCTATATTTTACGCCCAGATTTGAAACCATTACATGAATCCAGTTCATTAAGCCAATTGTTGAGTCGAATTGATGCAAAATATTTTGCATTGTTCCCTAATGGCCCCATAGATACGCCAGGAGACTGTGCAATATTCTTATGAAAACAAAAATTATTCTTCGGTTATAGGATATAGTTTCAAAATTACAAAAATTTGCACGTAGTCTATAAGTAGCGTTGTTATTTCGCCTTTTGTTTCTTAAATTTAATTTCGATCTAGTTAGTGTTTGAAAAAGTCCTTTTGTGAAATATTTTTGACATTCTCGTTTGAGTAATAAATTACTCGTGCATAAATACACGATCCCAGTTTTGCACATGCGAGTCAATTTAGCTCAGCCAACACACTATTCAAAGCATAAACGCAAAAAATGGAATATAGTTTTAATTCGTAAAAAAAAGTTAGTTTAACAAAAATTACGATGTATAAGAGGGTATCGCCGTTTCGGTAAGATATATTCTTGACGTAATTAAATTCTTTTCCATTTACGAAATACATAGCATTGAAAAATTGCATTGGCGTCATCCACATATTTCAAAGCTAAATTGAATGCTGCAAAATATGCTGCTCGTCGTTGCACTGTTGTTTCTTTCAATCCGTATATTTTTATTAAAAGAATTTTTATCGCGTGCAAACACTTGTTCATTCTTTTCGCGAATTGAATGTTGTTTTGAATCTTTTCACTTTGATGCGCGTAGAACGCTTCACTCTTCTCAAAACCCATCATATGCAATCATTTTATTTATGTTTTTTTTTTTTGCTTTTGCAGGTGCGTCTTCAATAGAAAAACGGCAAGCCATTAAATTACTGAAGAAGCCGAAGAAAACGAATGAATAGGAGAGAAAAATAGAGAAAGAAAACATAAAACTGGCGATAATTCAAAGCGACAATTTAATACATAAAAACGATAAGGATTTTCCGCGAAACACGCTGTTTAGTTCAAAGGCACTAGAGCATCACAACATTAGAATTGTTTATGGAGTTCTTACGAATGCGGGCTAAAAAAACGTTGTGTATGCAACACGAAAAAAAGGATTATATAAATAGTGTGTGTTAACGTATGTTGTTTTTTTTGTCTTACGGATTTGGATTGTTCGGTAATCCCAAGTGAAAGAAGAGCGCGCATGCGTACGTCATCAAGATACTCTGTTCGTATGTTGTGCACTGCAAACGAGCTGGGTAGAGTAGCGTAGCCAAATGAAAATGGAAAAAAATTGGTTTCAACCAAATAAAATATGCAAGAAAACAAGAAAAAGTGCATAAAGTTCAGTGAATTTGATAAACATACTTGAAGCTTGAAAAAGTGGCAACCAGCACATACACATAAAGTGCAAATCTTTCTAAGTTGAACATAGCAGAACGAACGAGGGAAAAAACAACCTAAGCGTTTCAAACGAAGAACACGAATGAATTTAAATTATTGAACTATTTTTTGTTGTTCGTTTCTGTTTGGTTCGAGAGAGCTGTGTGTGTAGCACAGTAACACAGCAGCAAGTGCAACATCGAAGAAAGAAAAAAAAAGGCACGCAAACCATTGGCTCGTTAGCATAATAGCCATAAAAACCAATATTGTGCTTACACTTTGCTTGCATTGGTCATCGCTATCTCTTCACTTCACATTTCACAGTCAGTGCTGTGTGTAAGTGAGTGAGTGCTTCTCTTTGCGAAGAGAGTGTGTGTGTGTGTGCTTTTTTCTACTGCTCTTCGTGCCGTGCATGTGCAGCCCAGACTGAATTAATAAATGTGTAACAACGAAAGATGTTTACACGACGAAATTGGCTTCTACGTTGCAGTATTTTAATAAATATTGCCGTACTTTTGTACATTTGTAGTCATTTAATGATAGGAACTAGCAACATATCGCTTGGACCAGCATTTGTGATACCAGAGGATTATGCAGCAATTAAATCACAACAAGCGGCTGCGCTCACACGAACAAATGGCGGTGGTGGTGGTGCGAATGCAGTCAATCTTCTGCAACAGCAGCAGCAGCAGACAGGTGACAATGCACATGATAGACAGCATCAACCACAGGAGCAACCGCAAGATGCGGAACAAGAGCCCATTGTAGATAATGACTCAAATCAGGTAATATTTCTTTTTTCGTTGAAATTAAATTACACTTAACAACAGCGAAAAAAAAACCCAAAATGTATGCAATCATTTATGCTAGGCAAATTACCTTTTGAATCCATTTTTTTCGCGAAACCGAATTCGAATGACGGTTTTTATCCCTTCTCCATCATCATCATCATCATCTTTCAAATTGAAACAAATTTGATAAAACCCGTTGCTCATTACACATCTTATCAGGGGCAAATCTTTTGGAAATAAGCGATTGTTTTAAAGGCTTTTCCATGCAGATAACTGTCTTAAATCTCCGCGTTTCTCTTTTGTTCGGTCATTTGTCGCTCTATTTACGGTCGGTATATTCGCCCATATTCTTCTTTTATTTTTGTTCGTTCGCTTGCTCGTTCATTCGAGATTGGTTTGGTGTGGAACGTGAACGCGCGCGAGATCACCGTCATCAAAATGTTATGCTGGTGAGAAAAACGAAGTATGTTTGTGCGCAACACCGTGTGGTACGGTATGCTGCTGGTGATGAGAGAAAGATTTGTTTTCATTTTTATTTCTATTTTATGTTCGTTCACAATTGATTATATCGTATTCATCTCCCGTTTTTTTTTTTTATTCTCATTCACGTAATTAACATTTTACATCGATCGTAATCTAGTATTTCAAACAAACAGTTACTTCTGTGAAATGGATATATGTTTATGTAGAAGCTGATGGTCAACGTTCCTCCGGTGAAATGAAGCATTCGATAAACATGAACAAAATAAGCATAATAACAATTCATGTTGAACTGTATTGGATTTGAATTTCATATTCAATTAGGTTTTACAATACGTTTTACGAGAAAATTTTGTACAGTTATCAACCTCGTTTGAAAGCCATATCAAAGCCATGGAATCGATGTCGAGACACTCGTCAGATTCACTTTTGTTCAATAAATGATGATTTTCAGCATGACCTTACTACATTTTTCCATTAACTTCATGCTCAATTGGTTTTTTTACACTTCACTTTAGCTTTATGGCACTCTCATTCGGTTGAAGTTGTCGCATGTCACTTTTCGAGAGAGGAAAAGAGTCAGCAGAAAATTTAACATGCATTGTCAAAGTCATTGCCACATGTGTGCACTTTATGTGATTATTCTTCCTGTGTGCACTTTGCGTCTCTTTTCCCCATGTCAAATATTCGTTGTGAATGGCTGGCACATGTCATTAAGGTGCAATTGACACTGAGGATGATGACGTCAATGTGCAAACTGACTTATTTAAGTGTGGGAAATGTACCGTGCCGTAAGAGTGCGCCTGCAAAATTGTTGGAAAAATAGCTCAGCTTAAATCGAAATCTTGTCTAGCAGCTATAAATAAAACTTTATTCTCAACGATGCAACGTTGAAACAAACATGAAAAAAAATACAACCATCGCAGTCTCAACTCGGCCAAAGTTTAATTAAATCAGACTGAGCAGCAGATTCGTCTCTCTTGGTGAGCAATATTGCAGCGTGGACAAAGTTAGTTGGAGAATTTTTGGAATACTAATAAGTGGTTATTATGCTCTTAACAACGATGAATATGGCTTTGAAATACACACGCGCTATATCATGGAATTACGTCATATAAGTCATGTTTATCCCGGCTAAAGTAACAGGGCAGGGAATTGAATATTTTTGCATACATACACTTGTACCTCCAAACAAAAACCAAAAAAAAACAAAAAACAAAAACACGCTCTCTCTCTGTTATGCAAATTAACACTCGAGAATAATTTTCGCATCTTCCGCTTTTATCTCACATTTTTGCTTTGTCTCATTCTCTTTCTCTTGCCCTCTTTTTTAATATAGATAAGCGATAAGGACAGCCAAAATGAAATAGATACTGATATGGACCAATTAGCACCCAAGCAACATCCACCACAATTAAAACTGCTGCCAAAAGAACAACAAACCATCGTAGCTGACGATTCGCAATCACCGAAAACAGCGCAGACCGATTTATTGCAATCACCACCAAACAAAGTCATCACAGACATTCTATATCCCGAAACGAACTTTGCGAATGCGTCCGAAATTCAAGCAAACACCGAAGAGCATGAACTAGAAACAAGGCTGAAGTAAGTACAGTATCTAATTTGTACCATGTTAACTTCGATTGCAGGCGCACAAGTGTTTTCCATTGAATTTCAATTTTTCGATTTCATGCTCCGTTTGGTCATCGGAGTGTGCTTTTTTCTTCGTTTGTTCCTACTCTCGTCTTAAAATTTATTGTTCTTTTGTTTTCGTTTCTATTTGCAGATTACTAATTCATTGTCATGACAAGGAGTATGAAGCGCAAACCGTGCAACGTAGCGATTTCTGGGTACTAAAAAACTACATTCGCGCTGATCATGGCGAATTACGTTGCTTCCAAAGTGTGACGTACACCACACATGCCGACTATACATTTTTAGATAATTTAATACCATTGCTAGAAAGGTAATTTTTGTTGGTCTTTTTTTGTTTCATTCGTTGAATGAAAATGCATTTTCACCTTCCCTATTTTCTATCTCATTCGCACGGTTTTCACCTTTTCCTTGCCTTTCCCACCCAAAACCAAATGTTTTATTCCATGACAAACACTTGTCATTGTTCAAATATATGGTGGTGTTGGTGTTTGAGTTCATGCTTTCGTGATAACTTTCTTTCGTCCGAAGCAGAAAAAAAAACAACTCTGACCAATATAAAAAAAAAACCATGGAATTGTATTGAGAAACGGGCGTTGTTCGTGTCTTGACTCCTTTTTCTTTCTATTGTTCAAATGGAAAAGCACACACATAGAAACGAGCTCATTTTGCTTCGACCATTCGACCGGACTCTTTAATATATCATCAATGATGGAAATAAAAAACGTTTGTTGGATTTTTCAAGTGGCCAATATATACAGAAGATAAATAAAATATAGACCAAGCTGACCCAAATATCAATGGAATTAACGCAAGCAACGGTGTTGTTGCAACACGTTGAAGCTGAACCGAAAACGGGCATATATACCAACTCCAGTCGATGTAGTGCTTCAACCTTTACAATTTGCTCACTTTACGTAATTGCATTTTGTTCTATGGGGTGGAATCTACTGTTAGATGAATCAGTTGCTCACACTTTTGATGTATGCCTTTTTGACTTTCTCAAGCGGAACGAATGCTTGCGCTTAACTGGAACTCATTTTCACCTTTTACACCATATACACGGTGTCTCGGTGTTGGTTTTCAGAACAAGGAAATCAAATTTAATTAATCCCCACCTTTTACCAGTAAATCGATTCAAATAACTTGATTTTCAGTGTTCTCATTTCACTCTTCACGATTGAATTGCTTCAGTGTGCGTCTTTAGCCATTCAATTCCACTGGAGTGTTGGCAAAGTGCAAGGAATTTTCAATAGAAAAGACGTTGAACATAAATCTTTTCGAGCGATGAATGTGTGCGAATGAAGTGCTTTGGATGTTATCAAATTGCTTGCACAGCAACAGTAATCCTGTAGGTCAAGTTGTTTTTTTCCATTCCATCTACCAAAGGAAAAGAAAACTACACGAATTTAAATGAAAGAAACTTGTTGCGAACAAGAGAAACTAAATTGTCTACTTATCGTAAGTTCTTGTGTTCATTGAAATATGTTCGTCTGTCTCTCGCTCTCTCTCTCTCTCTTCCGCTGCTCGTGTGTGTGTGTGCCAAAAATCTCAACTTGAACACTCTGATTCGTTTCATCTATCACGTGCATGATTTATTTATTTGCAAAGAGAGCGTGTTGTAATCGGATTTGATAAGTTTTCATTTGATAAATTGACAATGTCTGCAAAAGTTTATTCAATTCTTTTCTTCTCGTTTCTACACATTGTTAAAAATATCCACAATGTATAACATATCCATGATTCATCTTATTGACGTTGAAAATTTGTTTGCGAACACAAAGTGCTGGGAGGCTCCCCAGCAATTGTTGATTAGAACATTAAATAAAAGTGATTTGGTTTTTCTTATGTTTTATTTGCATTGTAAACACACAGATGGAATGCCCCAGTCAGTATAGCGCTACATGCGCCCGGAACGGATTTTCTACCAACCATCAATTCGATTCGATATTTGCGAGACTGTACACCCGAATCGATGCTCGTTCGACAATTTACCACATTTCACATTTACTTTAGCAGTAAACACATTCCAAAAGCAGTGAGTACAGTAATAACAACTATCAACCATAAACCACTCACAGTTTACGCTGAATGGGCGGATATCTGGATTTGTCATCAATAAACGTTTTATTTAATTCATTTTTCATTCCCTTTCCAACTCTCTTTCATTTTTTTTTTTTTGAACAGGTTCCAAAACACGATAAAGTATTAGATATACCATTTAATTGCTCGATGCTACCACCATATGCCAATGTAAGCGCCGGCCAGTTATATAAAACGCAAAAGAAATTACTGTACCCGGTGAATGTGGGCCGGAATATAGCGCGTGATGCAGCGCAAACCCATTTCATATTAGCTAGTGACATTGAGCTCTATCCGACGCCGGGATTAGCGAAAAAATTCCTCGAAATGATTGCACGCAACGATGCACCGCTGCAACGAAAGAATCCGAGAGTGTTTCCGTTGTCATTGTTCGAAGTAGATAGTGCATTACAAGTTCCTCGCGACAAAACCGAATTACAAGAATTACTAAAAGCTGGCAAAGCGATACCATTCCACAAGCGTGTCTGTTCATCGTGCCATGGTGTGCCCAAATCCAAAGAGTGGATGGCTGCAAATGAAACAGATGGTTTGTGTTTTCATTTCGATAGCTTTTTATTCGTCTCCATTCATTTCTTTCGCATAAATCATTTTTACTAGCTGTCTCGTTTCTAAGTACTCATATCGCTTACTGGGCTTTTTTTTTGCCTATCTCTCGTGTTTCATTTCAGATTTGGGCGTATTTCACATCGGAAAACGTACCGGTTATTTTGTGCATTGGGAACCGATATATATCGGAACACACGCCGATCCGCACTATGACGAACGGTTGAGCTGGGAGGGCAAGAGCGATAAAATGACACAGGTTCGTACAATGGCAATAACTCATTTTGCTACCTCGACAAATTGAGCGTTGCTGTCATGGTTGCTACTAACTAAATGATTGGATGTGTTTTTGACTATCTCTCACTCTCTCTCTCTCTCTCTCGTCTCTTTTTCAGGGTTATGCTCTATGTGCACTGGACTACGAATTCCACATACTGGACAATGCATTTTTGGTGCATAAACCGGGGATTAAAATTTTGAAGAAAGATACGAAACGTGCCATGCTTGCAGCTAAAACCAATCAATTGATTAAGAAAATCATTTACCCCGAACTACAAGTCATGTACGGACTGCGAAAAGGATGCGCTGTATAGTAGATGTGTATCTGTGGATATCCAGAACAGTTGATGAAACAATTTGAAAATCAACGTTTCAGAAATTGATCGGATATTCAGTCCATATATATTTTTCAAATGGAGAAAAGAGGAAAGCATATGAAACCAATTGTAATTTATTATAAAACCTAGAATAGCTTGTCAAAGCTATAGATTGAATTTTGTCACAAACAAACAAAAATGTAATAAAATTGATAGTGCCTCCCTTACCGACCGAGAGAACACAAAAATCAATAGGTTCACAAACACACGAAAAAGCGATGCAATACCGTTGGAATTGAACACATCATGCATCAAATGCCATATTATATTCAGAACAATTTTCAAATGTGAGAGAATGTTGTTATGAAATTTGTATAGTCAGCAATACTCAGAGTTAAAAATGAATCTATAGGTTTTCACACATGATCAAAATGAGACCGAAAAATAAGCCTAACAACAATTTATCAAACATTCAACAAAATGAAACAAACAAAGAAAACAATGGATGAATGAATTTTGAATTGAACTAGGGACAAAAACAGGATATGAATTAAGAGTAAATGCTAAAAAAAAAACGAAGTGATATTTATCATATAATTTAATTTTTAATTCCTAAAAGAAGAAGAAAAAAAACACTGAACGGATTTGCAAATGGATCAATGGAACCATTACCTTGGTTAGCCAATGCCTGATTTTTTGGCCGACACACATCAAAATGCACTTTATTGTATCAAAATTATGATTCTTCTTTTTTTTTAAATGAACAAAAACTCTATCAACTTCATTAGGTATGAACCAATTCATCTTTTACTAAAAAAAAAGACATGAAGTTGCCAGAAGCGACGACACTCAATCAGATTATAACCAAACTAAGTAATTAAATTATACCGATACTGTTCTCATGCTCAAATATGTTGTAGAATAACACTGAACACGATTCGGAATTGTTGTTCCCGTGGAATGAGGAAATGTTGTCGAAATAGCAGCCAGAATTAATTTCAGTCATTAAATTGAGTGTATTTTGAAGCTGTTAGGCATCCGGAAAAGTTTACAATGAAAAAGTTTGTACTTGAATTTTCGCTCAATGAAGCATCGTAACATGGTGCGCTCTTGAACATTTGTGAACATGAATTTGAGACTCTTGTTACTGGGCACAAAACATGTGTTACACCTTGAATCGAGTCCGCACTTGAATAGTAACTACAGTTCATTTAATGGACACAATAGAGCCATGGACCTCCCATTCTATGTGTGTCTGTTTACCAACAATAATTCGATCTTTCGTACAGTAAATACAAATATTCACCGTATGTAATGGGTCAAACTATTGAAACAGATACTCCAAATACACACAACACACATTTGCTATATGTATTTATTAGACGAAAAACTAACCATACCAGAGATAAACACACACAATAAATAGTTTACAGTTCGACTAGTAATATTCAAATATTTATATATATCACCAAAGACTTTGCGAGCAATCGATACACTTACACACTCATTTCGTGTAAAATTCGATACATTTAGAGCAAAAAAAGCAGCTCGTGTTATATTTGCAACATATTTTGAGCTTTAGATTTAAACTGATACCAACAACAACAACAACAACAAAACTTAGGTCAAAATTTACTAAAGTGGAATCAACATTGTAAACATATCAATTTCCACACAAACACAAAACAAAAACACTCTATCAAATCGAATAGTTAGGGGAATGTTTCTCTTGTCATTAAATCCCGACTATCACCCTCTCACTGAACCAATCAACTCTAATGCTTTTCTATTTATTTCGAGTAGAAAACACCAACCAAAATATATCCGAATTTTTGCACTTTTTAAGCTAAACCAGGTGAAGATTCTTCACTGAAGAAGTGAATCGTTAAACAAAAACAAATCGTTTTCTTATTTTATCAAACAAAACCTCAGAAAATAAAATTTGGTTTTCTTTTTTCTTCATAAAAGTGCCTTAATTGAATTTACCGAAATTTACTGTCACAGACACACACACACACACACACACACATTGAATCGAATTGGTTTATTTATTTAATTTGTACGAATGATAATGGTTTTGTTCATTTGATGAACGATAAAAAAAAACGGGAAGATTTCCGTTTTTGATATCCGCCAAATGGTATTGAATTTATCCAATCATGGAGGAAAATGAATATCTGCCTAAAACGCACAGATTTCAACTAAAAATAATAATGAAATGCCTAAAATGTTTCGTTAAAAATCCTCGACTATATTTTATTTTTCTGGTTTAGAAATAGAGATTTATTTGCTAGAAAAAAGACAACAAATCAAAAACTCAACTCACAGAGAGAATGATGCATTACAAGTCTTTGATTTATGTATTTAAGAATTCTTCTTTTTTTCTCGTTAAGTTGAACAAATTTAAGTCACAATGTGCATAAATGTTGTTTTGTTTATTAGGTTTTTGTTCTTTGTCGGCATTACGTTTAAATGAACATAGAAGATTTAAATTATAATATTTAAGAACAAGAAAACTACACACGTTATAATCGAAATATTTAGGCCCAAATCCATCACATCAAATGCACGCTTCGATGATACAAGTAAACTAATTTCCCATTCGAAGTTCGAACGTGCACGATGGATGCTTAGGAATTTATTTGAAGACGGCCTGCAGTTTTTGTTTTTCTGGGATGTAACTTATTACGTGTGTCAGTAAGGGTATTTGAAGAAGCTGTTCTTCGTCAGTTAATTAAGTTGTCGTGTATACATATAGTTGCGTGTATTATTAGTAATGAAACAAGCACATGCAAGAAAAACATTGAGAAAAAATAAAATAAAAATATTTGATTGTAAACAACAAATTTGAGGAAGCAGAAGAGATGAAAAAAAATCATATTGAGAAAATAAAATGCTATACTTTTTCACACAAAATATAACAAATGGTCGTTTGATTTGATGTTTATTTTTTGGGTCATTTTTCTAGCTTTTTTTCGTTTGAACAAAATTTGTTCATTTATTATTCCTTCCTTCATTCTGGCTGTATTCTTTCCTGCTCTCAATGACAGGAAATATTTGGTATGATTCATTTCTTTCTTTCCTTTTTTGTTCAACTGTTGGTGCTAACCGAACCAAAAACTACAACAATTATATTCAGAACAAATATAAGATTATGTTGAAAGAAAGAAAATAAGAAAGATCGATATGTTGATGAGTGTGTCCATTTCATGAAATGATGACGAACAATAAAAAATACAATTTTTATGACATTTCTATCTTTATTTTGTGCTCTAATTAGTGTTGGCCGTCGAACACATTCGAACATCATTTAAAAAAATGTTTTGTTCATTCGTTCGATCGTAGGAAATGAAGAAATCGACGAACGAACAAAATTTCATTTTACAATAATGTCGAACGAATGAACGTTCGAAGACAACACTAGCTCTGATTTGGTATAAAACAATTTTGGAATGAAAACATGATTGAAAAAATAAGGAATTTATTTGTTTTTGTATTTAAATGTCATTTTTCAAGCATTTTTTTCGTTTATTTAAATAAACAAAATGTTGGTTCATTCATTAGTCTTCCTTCCTTCACTCTGGCTGTGTTCTTTTCTGCTCTCAATGACAGGAAACATTTTGTATGATTCTATTTTTTCTTTCATTTCTTTTGTTCAACTGTTGGTTCTATACGAGCAAAAAAAAAACTAGGAAGGAACTGTGAGTTTGTTGACTGCAAAAGGTTAAATTCTGGCAAGAATATAATGTGAAACTAGCAAAATGAATCACTTCTGTGCGTGCACCATCTCAATTAATAAAATTTTCTTGTTGTTCACTGTTTTATTGTAAATCGGCTTCGTTTTCGTTTTTAAGCGTTCACATTAACCTTTGAAACGAATCTTGTTAATCCGGCCAAAAATAAGTTTGTTTCTATCAAATTGTGCTCATTTAGAAATAGGATGTGGTTGTGTGAAAGGCCTCGTGCAAAAATTTCGTTTAACAATTCCATGAATCGGCGTTCGTTAACGTGTTTCATCTAATCGATGCAGGTTTTTGGTCGTTCACGTAACATAACATGTTAGTATAATGATGAAGAGACGACTAATACAAATTAAATGAAAAAGAAATACACATTTTGCGTGACTCACAAACAATCACTTTCATCTTTTTTTTTCGTGGCTTCTAAATAACCTGAAATGCACTCCCATCGCTTTTTTCCACTTCTTCTGACGCAAAATTAGGTGAAATAGCACAGAACAGTGTTTGCTTGCTATACGTTTGTTGATTTGAATATAAATGGTGTGACCAGAGAAATGTCAAGGTCGAATGCAGCCGTAGCATAAGCGAGAAAATGCGTTAATGCCTCTGGAGAGACTTGGCTTTCTCGACAGCTAATTCGTATAAATGAATTTAATCTTGGAAATGTATTAGTTAACCCCATCAGCAGATCACGCAATCGAAAGTTTCTCTTTTTTTTCTTCATTCAAATGTATAATCCGAAAAAGTGTTGAATCAAAATACCGCTATCTAATAAAAAAAATTCTGTATAAATTTATGGAAAAAGCAATATTATTCAACTTTTCCTATCAATCCATCGTCGGCTGAATATTGATTTGCATATGTATGTTTATTAATTTGAATGCGTACTGTCGCGTCGCACATTTGCGAGCGTTCGCACAACACGTTTGTTAGGCATTCTCACACCAGCCACTTGACATTTCGACTTACGTGTTACATCTCAAATCCTTTTGCATCAATCGAAACGTAATCGTGGTCAGTTTTAAGTGAGCTGTCGACCAATTCAGACGCGTTCCAACGAAAACACCTACAACAATGAAGCTCATCTCTTCAGCTATTTTACTTGTTGCATTCTTTTGCTATCAAAGTGAGTATTTTTCTCATTATTACTCTAACATTTTTTTTTTCCTTGTAGAAATAATCGATTGTTTTCGTTTGTTTATGCAATTATTTGCGAGTTTATTTTCGATAATAACATTGTTTTTTTTTCTTTCAAAAACAATTAATTATATTATGGAAATAATAAATAATAATATCGTTAATTGAGGTTATTATAAAATTTGTAGAATTTATTGTTGCAAGAAACTAAAAGTTAGACTTTGAATTGTGATTTCAATGGGATGAAATTGTGGATAAAGTGATGTTGTTCTTTTCGTATTTTGTAAAATTATTAAAAATGTTCAAGGTGAACGTGTTGATGCATGTGGTGTGTCATCAAATGCTCTCATGCATGCTAAATCATGTCAAATCAAACAATAAATGCCATTCATCTCATGGGCCCACACTCTAAACGTGTTTACAACATCAATTAGCATATCGAACAATTCGATTCAAAAAGGTGCCTCGATTGGAATTTCGAATCATTTCTTGCATAAGATAAACGAAATTTCAATTTAAAAGACGGAAATCGATTTATTTTTTGATAAGAAGAACTATTTATGACAATATTGTCAGAGAAGAACATTTATTTTTACGAAAATTTGACTAAAATACTGGACAAGCTTTTCTCAGCTTTTCAAACAAATGAAAAATGTTCGCATGAAATGTTTTAAAAATGTCGAAACTAATAGGATATTCATCAATTCAATTTACAGGCTTCGGTGTCCAGCGGAGACGCAAAGAAGTGCAACCACAATACTGGGCTGGACAATGCTTAGAGAAGAATGCTCGATACGCTGTGGCCGAACAATGCGATAAATACGTTGAGTGCGACGATGGAGAATCTGAAGAAAAATTGTGCTCAGACGGATTATTGTTCAATGATAAGGCTGGCATCTATACTGACCCATGCCAATATCCAATTGACGTTAACTGCACCACACGTTCTCGCATCCAACCAGCTCAAGTATGTGCTTTATTCATATTTATCTCTTCTTCATTTTATCACAAGCTTTGTGTCACAAGTGCCATTGATCCGGATACCTACAGATCCGGTTGCGATGACTCATTTGATAAATAATATTTGAATTTTGTAAACAAAGTTATTTATTTCGAATGAATTATTATTAAACGAGTTGCATTTTTAGCCAACAGAGGAATGTCCACATCAATTTGGATATTTTAAATTGGGTGACCGAGCCAACTGCGGTGAATTCTTGAACTGTGCCGAAGGACGTGGTTACAAATTGGCCTGTCCACTTGGATTGGCCTACAACCCAGCAAATTATCAGGTAAACATGATTTTTTCACGCATTCGTTCTTTCATTCAACTTGATGTTTATATCGAATTGTTTTTAATTTCACATGAAAAACAACTCCAAATTTTATTAAAAATTTCCACAAAAATGCAATACAGTTTAATTTCAATATAAAATTTAATTCACTTCCTCATTGTTTGCAGTGCGATTGGCCAGATCTTGTTGAAGACTGTGACCCAGAAGCTTTTTTGCGATACACATGTCCACCAGAGACCCGTGTCGAAGGCTTCGGTCCAGGACAAACCAAATTCTACCGATCAGATGATTGCCAACGGTATTTCTCGTGCAACAACGGTCATCCACGTTTAAACGTTTGCGGAGTTGGTAGCGCTTTTGATGAATCATTGAACCGTTGCGAAGCCGCTCAAAATGTCACCGGTTGCGAGCATTTGGCTATCCCAGAAGAAGAAGCGGAGAAAGAACCAATTTACTTGAAAACTTTGAAAATCAGAAATTAATATTAATTAATCGAGTATTAAGGCAGTTGGTAATGTGTCGATAAATAAAACAAATTTACTACTGAAATTCAAAAGAAATTTACTCATTTCATTATCTAACGATTAAATTTATTGGGGAAAAAGAAAAAAAAAACATATTGTTGATTGAAAAGAAAAGAAATTGCACTTAAAGATTAATGCACGCCGGAGACATTTTCTTATTGAAAATTGTCACTTGATTTTTCTCATCGAAACCAGCGGAATATCCGCCGTTGCGCACACAAAATACAGCACCATCAAAGTGTATGCGTCGATCGCCTTGACTAAAATATTATGAAAAAAAACCAACACTTTCCATTTATATTCAAATGAGTTTATTAGGTTGATCGGAATTATTTACCGTAAGAAAAGATGCGGTGATTTCCCCATTGATGCCGTCGCATGCATGTATGACGATGTCAATGTAATAGCCGCTTTACGCGGATTGATTCGAATGCCACATGATTTGTTCAGACGCTCAATGCTATGGAAATATGAGATGAGACACAGATTAAATTTTCTTTTATTAAATAATCCAGTAGTTTCAATAGCGTTAAAAAGGTAAGTCAATCCACCTGATGGTGCCGTCATTGTTGCTCGTAACTCGAACCTGATTTATTTCAAACGTTTCGGAACCATTTATCTCATGTGTGTAAACGGATTTTTGCATCATATGCACTGCATCGTCGAATGGATATGAACTGTGGCGAATGTTTCTACTGGGCGACAAATGATGGAGAATGAGAAAAAAAAATGCAAAAAAATTCGAAAGAACATAAAAAAACGACCTTTTAAATAATCTAAAAACTGAAACATACTTATTGAACACTTCTAACGCGCAATCTTTTTTTATGTGCACGAAATGATCGACGCTACTACGTAGGCCGGCCTCATCAACTAAGTACACCACTGGAATATCTTTTGCCATAAAACTAATGCCCTTTTGCCAAATTTTTGCACATCGCAACAGGTTATTCTGGTGCGATCCATCGAATGCAACCAAATCAACACGTGAATTATTCTGAAATATGCGACCATTCGGATGAAAGATGACGGCATTTGTTGTTGAGCCTGAAATGCACACAAGTATCTTCTGCATGGGGCAAGCAATTCGAATAGCACGATCCAAAGAAATATCGATGCTGGTGGATAAAGCGAAAATGATAATCCAATATTAATTTGGCAGAATGATTGAATGTTGGATATAAAAAGATCACATTTTTTTAACATTATTATTGGAAAAAAGTAACAAAAAGGCTTTTTACTTCTAATAAAGACTTGTTGCAAAGCAAAGCCAATAGTAAACATACATTCTTCTTGTTTAGGAATAAAAAAAAGGAGCAAAACTAAAGTGGGTAAAATTCTCGAAAGCAAAGTAATCTTACAAAACATTGTCTTTGCGACGAATGCTTATGTAGCCATCGTTCGAAATTTCGGTGATTAAATTCCGATTAGCGTGTGGCTCAGAGAAAGAGTTCGTTTGCAATGCACGCGGTGGAGAGGGTTTTCTTTGGGTCGATATGCGTTGATTGTGTGGCGAGCAAGCTGAAATGCTTTTCCAAATTTTGCTGTCCAACGGAACTTTCAATGTGAACGTTCCATACGATGGTGTATCCTTTACATCACCGCCTTCTGATGGAACAAACGGAGTTGCATCGCCATTCAAAGATGAACTCGTCTTTGAAAAAAAGTTGGAAATAAAATGTTGTAAAGGATTTAAACATCAATTTTTAATCGTTATTTCTTAAGAATATATTTTCTTGTGTCAAGAAATCAAAATGTGAAGATGCATCGAAAATAAAAATAAAAATTGCCGTTCAATATAATTTAAATGCGTACCGGACTTTCATCTCTCGATTGGTTTGTTTGATTTTGCGTTTGGTTGTTGTCTCCGATTATCTCCGTCGCATCCATTTCAGTCAAATAGTTCTAATTGTTCCAGTTTCGTTTCTTCCGCTCTCACAATTTAAATTTCCTTTGTCTGTTTCTTCACATATTTTTTTTGCCAATGACGAAAATTCTCCAAATCAATTTTGCACAATTGTATTTTTCATTTTCAGAGTTTGCTTTGTTTTTTCTACATCGATACGCAATGGGATGTAAAACGGAATATTTGAATGAGTGAAAACGCTGCGTTGAAATGTCAAAGAGGTAAACAAGCGTCGATGCAGAGTCACTCAGCGCCAACTTCATGATTGTTATAGCAAAAAATAAATAAATTCAGAGAACGTCAATGGTCACGGCTTTCAATTGTTTGCAAATGATGCAAAAACTTTGAGCATTTTGTAATTTTTGCACGGAAAATCGTCACAATTTTTTTTATTTAATTGTGTGGAAAGACTACGACTGATTGGAATTGATCATTTGATAGCGTAATCACCAGTGTTAGAAAATGTTCAGCCGCAATTGAAGAGTGTTTTGCAAAAAGATGCTAGTGAGCTGTTGTTTGCTTCACACGTAAGTTATGTTTATTGTCAGCAGAATGTAATCTCATCATAACAGTAATATTCCACGAAATGAAGCCATTTATCAATTCATTTATTTCAATCCGTAGATTGGAACAATACAATGGAAATTGATTTTTAAACAATAACAAGCCGACGACATAAACAATTCCGCCTTTAAGTATTTCTGAAACTGCGTCAGCTATTTTGTGACAAATCAATAACATCCGACAAGTCGTTGCGAACAGACGTCGATTTGAAATTGCAGTTAAATGACGCTGAGCATGGATTTGCCGGAGGACGAAGACGTTCAATTAACCGAACAAAACTTTCGAAATGTTTGCCGATTGTGTTTACATGCCGACGAGTCATTCGTCAATGTGTTTGACCGTATCGAACAGAATCCATCGAAGCAACCGTTAGCCGATCGAGTTTATGATTTGTATCAAATCAAGGTGAGCACAGTGGCAATGGATTGGATTGAGATGGAAAGATACAAAAGAGGAACAAAACAATCTTATTGTGTTTATTTTGAAGGATTTAATGCTAACGTAGAACAAATTTCATGAAAGGCAATTCTAATGAACTATTTTTCTATTTCAGCTACTGAAAGATGATGGTTTGCCAACAAACATTTGTCATCGTTGCCTGTACAACACGGAGCTGTTCTTCGAGTTTCGCGATGGTGTGCATCAGTGTGAACGAAAGTTGCAAGATTTTGTGGTATCACTGGCCGGTCGTTCAAATGACATCACGCCAACCGAATGGAATTTGAACAGTATTCTCCATGAGCAACATGAATCGAGTGACTTGGAACAAAACAATGTCGTGGTAATTGATCCACTAAAGTGTTACGAATCCTCTGAGGATGAACACAATGACGAAGAAATCACAGAAATTCGACCGGCCGAAGTGAACAAAGATTTGATGGCAACGCTGCTGTCTCAGTTCCCTGTGCCGAACAACAATGGTGCTTTTGTGAGCCATTCGAACAAACCAACGGGATTTTTGGACGCTAAACCATTGCGAAATGTGTGTTTTTGCAAGTATTGTGAAGCAGCATTCGTCCATCGAAATGATTGTGATGCTCATGAAGGAAGCAGTCATGATCCAGTGATGCCACATCAATGCACCTTCTGTCCATTCCGATGCGATACCCAGTCAGATTTCATTGGCCATATCAAAGAGTTCCACGATCCAGAGCGACCGTACTTTTGTACGCAATGCAGCAAAAACTTTGGTCGTCGAGCCGATTTGCGGAAGCATGCTGTCAGCCACACGGGCATTCGACCATTTTCGTGTCCAGTGTGCGCCAAAACCTTTTCACGCAAAACAAATGTCACGAATCATATGAAAATCCATGAAGACAAGAAACACGGTAGCAACAACGATCTATCACGCCCGCAAAAATCGTCGAACAAATCAAAGAATGCATTTTCACGGGCCAATTCGGTGAACCTGGGATACCAGTCAATGCCAGTGGATGGAAATTTCCAAGCGTTCCCCAATCAAGGCTATCAAGTGCAACAGGAAAATGTCATCTATTCCAAATGCAACGTGAAATCTGAACCAAACACCATACCCAAGCTAAAACTCAAGTTAACCAAACCATTTTCACCCGCCGCAGCTCCAACTTCACCACGATTCCCTTGTACAAAATGCAAAAAATCCTTCAAAACCAAACGCGATCTGGATCGACATTCTCAAACTCATGGCACTGGCATGAAATTCCAATGTTCGTACTGTCAAAAGGGATTCCCAAACAAATACAAATTATTGCGACACGAAAAGATTCATACAAATCGAAACAAAACGGCAGCCTTGCCTGAATCAGCATTTTTGGTGGAGAATCTGAAACGCGGCTCACATTTGACATCGGAACACAAATCATCACCACAAGCCATGACGGCGGCGGTGGCGGTGGCGACGGCGACACACATCGACCAGCAACAATCATTCAAACCGGACAGTTTTCGGCCACAATTCTATGCCGAATATGATCTCAGCGCAGCAAACAATTGAACATGATTATTTTTTTAAAGTTTAGTATTCAATCATTAAGTGCACAAAATGAAACCCGTTTCATTTCATTCAATGGAAAGATGAACAAAACAAAATAAAACAATTCAAGAAGCATTGTGATCAAGGTTTGACATAGGTCTTACTCCATTTTTTTTAAGCCATTCAATTTTGCAAACGAATTACGCTCTTCTTTGAACAAAATATGTAGAAAGAAAACCAAAAAAAAAACTAACAAAAATTAACACACACATACACACCATAGGAGTACAACAATTTCGGTATTAAGCTTAGAATTGTAATCGAATTTGGTTTGTGTTTTTTTTTGCTAATCCAATGGAACTCAGCTTTTAGTGTTTAGGTAAGAAAAATGAATAAAATTTTGAAGTACACAAACAAATGCCCAAGCGCATTTTCATTTGATTAGATTAAGTTGTTTTCTTATCTGGATAGAGGAACATCATTGCTTGGGAACGTGAGTCGGAAATAGGTAACGCGCCTTCGATACACTCTCAGCTGTTTTGGGGCAATACAAACTTGTACAATTCACATACTGCTCAATTTACACACAATCAGCGATTTGATAAAAAAAACTCTGTGTTTTTGTTGCTAATTTGTTGGCATGAATTAGTGCAATAATAACAAATGAAGTGTCGTTTATTTCACTGATTCGACAATGAATGAATAATAAAATTGTTGTAAACACATTTAAGCAAATGATGACGGTTTATGTATTTTTTTTTTTCATTCGTTCATGTACGGAATCGCACGATCGCACGATTGCACGATCGCACGAGTGAATTGAAAGCCTATGGATTTTTCTAGGGGCTTCACGCACTCAAAAAATGATTCAAAAACAACAAGTATT